CTCAAGATAATCAGAAACTCTGAAGAGTGGGGGCTATTACATCTGGGGGAAAAATAAAATATATGGTAAATCTGAGCATTTTGTGAACTATTTAATTACCCTCTGTGTAACAGTAAAGAACAAAGGACATGAATTTAAAACTTGATAACAAACAAGGATACAATAAAAAAACCACCGATATATATATATATATATACACACCTGAGAAGTTTTCTTACATTTCTTAAATTTGGAAAAAGGCTCTGCTTAATCAACTAATACAAACTAAGAACAATTCTGAAAATATCAAGATGTCATTGTTTGTTACCACTGAGTAGTATTATATTGTGTATTTACATTTCTATATCCATTCTTTGGTTGAGGGGCATCTAGGTTATTTCCAGGTTCTGGCCCTTACAAATAATGCTGCTATGAATTAGTTGAGCAAATGCTTTTGTGATATGAATGTGCATTACTTTTGGAAGCTTATTTCCTTTGGAGAAATACTTTGCTTGGTCTGGATGTAGGACAAAGACTTGGTCCTGCCTCAACTTGATATGCTAGACTTTGTAGACTCCTCAAGGGAGGCCTTACTCTCTGTGAGGATTGGATGAAGGTTGGGTGCTGGGAAGGAAGGGGGAGGAAGGGGGAACTGTGGTTCATATGTAAAATGAAAAAAAAAACCTTTCAAATAAAAAATTAAACAGAAAATTTTGGAAGTAAGAATATCATTATTAAATGGAAAGTGAGACAGGTCAAATAAGGATTTATACTCAAAACAAAAATGTCACTGATGCCTAAAAACAATCCCGAGGAGAGATGTGCATAATCCCATTATACTAAAGGTTACTGACAGCAGGCCTCTGCCTCTCAATCTGTTTCCATGACTTCACCTAATTACAAAAAATGTTGCAGATGATAAAGAAATGCCTCATTATTTTAAATGCCAATATCATTTTTAAGCATATTTCCCTTCAATTTCTCAATGCAGTCTTTACACAAACAATCTTTTCTAATTTTACTTTAGAGATTCCACATTTCCTGTCAGTTTATAATTATTATATTAGACTCCCTAACTTAGATTTTTGCCTCATAATCTAGTATTCTTTTTAAGTTTAATGGGCATTTTTAAAAATCAGTTTTGTATTCCCCTTGATCTTATTCGAAGCTTTAAACATGTCATCAAGAACAGAAGATGGCTTTATTTTTAAGATGTTTCAATGATGCCTATTCAGAAATATTTACACATCACAGTAAATGAAATGTTCTCGATTGAAGTAATAAATTATATTTGTTTGCAGCACATTCTAAATAAAATTGTATCTGTAAAGCCATTATATTACTGTCAAGAAAGTTAACTGATTTTAACTCTTCTAAAAAGAAGTGCTGAAAATAAAAAAAAAACTCTTTATGATATAGCTTGAATATAATTGACCTTAGTGAAGCAAATTTGATCTCTTTCCCCAAATGGAAATTTGATTAACTTAACACATGAAAGAGAGAAACAAGAAGTATCAAACATTTTTCACCATCTGGTATTTCAGTTGATGTAATGTTACTTTTGAATAAAATACTTAGAAAACCCTCAAGCCAAGGATCATCTTTTTTAAAAAAATGCTTTCTCTCAGATAGCTTCAAAAGTAGAAGAATTAAATTTTCTGGAAGGAAGTATAATTTTGTCTTTAGATTGCACCATTAGCAACTCTGAGTCTTCTCTCTGTGAAGTGGCTCAAAAAAGGCCTTCAACTAATGCAACCACAGTGGAGTTGTAGCTTCTATATTTTAAGAAATAATGTGTCTCACAGCAATAAAAAAACCAAGTAAGATAAGAAATATATGATTTTTTCCTAGAGATTTTGAAATAGTAAATCTTGAATAATAATTATTTTATCATTTAAGTATATTTTATATTAGTAATTTTTACAGCTTAACTATTTCAGTTAGAAATTTATAATATAGTGCTTGAAAAATGTACAAAAATTCTTACATATTAGTGACAAAGGTATTATTAAGCTCATATACAGTGGTTTGGAAAAGAGGAAATGTTTAAGGATAATTCCAGTACAATTCAGGCATTTAAAGGTTTTCTTTTTTCATTTGAAAAAAAAATATGTATTTGTTCACAGAAACCATTGTATTCCAAACAGTTTCTATGAATTAATTTTGAAACCTACATATTTGGAAAATGAGTTGTCAATAGAAGTCCTTTAGAGGCACACACAATACAATTAGAAAATTAAGAAACGTTCACCGGACTGAATAGCTGCTGAATGAACGTTGTCATTTCTACTCAGTTATCAGTTTTTGAAGGGTAATCTGAATGAATCTCCCATTTTAACATGTAAAATAAATCCAAAATATAATACTTTTTATACATAATAATGAAAATAAGAAAATTTTACAAATATTGGTAGTCTTTATATTCAGTTCTGCTTTAGACTCTAAAGAATTTTAGTTAATTTGAATAGAAAGTAAGATATTTCTTTCTACTCCTCACTTCAATACACCAGAGCAAGAATAGAAGCAGAGATAAACAGCATCTAAAGAAATGTAATGAGCCAAGGCTCTTGCCAACCCTAAAATGGCTCCCATAATATAGACATCTTTTTCCCTGCTCCTATATCCGCCCTTCCTCTATCTCCACCCTCCCACTCCCCAAGCACTCTCCAGTCTTTCCCTTCTCTCTTCTCTCTCCCCTTCCCCCCTTCAATCAACCCCACTCGCACCCTTACCCCACCCCCATTCTCTCAACTTTTGCCCGGCAATCTTGTTTGCTTCCAATTTCCAAGAGGATCTATATATGTTTTTCTTTGGGTTCACCTTGTTATTTGGCTTCTCTAGGCTTGGCAAGAGACTTAGCTCTAGAGGGGATCTGGGGTGTCCACGGGAATGTCCCCAGCTAGGTCCTTGGGCAGCAGAGTAGAGGGTGCCTGAACTGGCCTTGCCCCACTATCACACTGATGATTAACTTGAATATCACTATAAAGTCTTCGTCTGGCAACGGAAGAAGAAAGAGACAAAATCCTTCATCAGTGCAACTGACTGAGCTTCCAAGGTCCAGTTGAAGAGCAGAAGGAGGGAGAAGATGAGCAAGGAAGTCTGGACTGGAAGGGGTTGGTCCACCCACTGAGACTGTGCCTGTTCTAATGGGAGCTCACCAAATCCAGCTGGACCTGGATTGAATGAGCATGCCATCAAACCTGACTCTCTGAATGTGGCTGAAAATGGGGGCTAAGAAGCCATTGATAAAGGCACTGGACTTGTTTCGTTTTTATGTACTGGCTTTTGGGGACCCTAGTCTATTTGGATGCAAAGCTTCCTAGGCCTGGATGTGTGTGTGTGTGTGTGTGTGTGTGTGTGTGTGTGTGTGTGTGTGTGTGTGTGTTGGGGGGCGCTTAGACTTCCCACAGGGCAGCGTTCCCTGCCCTCTCTTAAGGAGGGAGGAGGAGGGAAAAGGGGAGGAAGTGTAAATTTTTTAATGGAAAAATAAATAAATGAAAGTAACAAAAAAGAAAAGAAAAAGAAATGTAATGAGATAGAAAAAAGAGAGGACTATGAAATATTCACCTCCATTAATCCTTATAAATACTTGCTTTAAAATATAAAATCTGATTGTATTAATCGACTGGTACATGAAAAAATAAATAGAAAAAGTACTTCTGTAAATATCTGTGAAATAGAGACTTCTATGTCATAACACTTAGTTGAAAATAGGAAACATGCTGACCTTCAAGTAAGATAATGTCCATAAAATAACTTGTTTTAACTGGTCTGGTATACTTTGTCATTCCAGTATAATTATAAAACAACTTAATTTGAGAACTTTAATTATTGTGCAGGGAGATGAAAAGCAGAGTAGAAAAACAAGATTTTTAAAACAATTTCCCAGGAAATAGACTAGATTTTTGAGTAAATTGTTTAATGGGAATATATTGACTGATTTTTTCCATATATTGTAACACATCTGGGAACTGGAGTTCTATCTTTGATATAAAAATTGAGAGTGATTTACTTACTTATTTTTAATATTACCATGAATTATATTAGCACACTTATGTCAAAAACTAATGTACATAACACTATCATGGACATTTTTAATAATTCTCAAACTCATATAATTTATTGTTACAGTTACTAAATTATTTCATATAGTGAAATGCATGCAAATTAAAAGCATTTATTCAATATAACTAGATTTATTTTAATGATAGCTCAATAGATTTTTTTACACTTACAAAGGAGTTTTAGGCAACCTTCATAAAGAATATGTTAAAACATAGACAATAAAACAGTTTTAATTATAAATAGTATCGTATTAATAATACATTATATTCAACAAAATACATTGAAAGTTTTTAATCCACCAGAAAATTTCATGTACACAAATAAATGCAAGAAACAGGGTTGACAAGTATTATTCAATGCATAGATTTTCTTCCTCACAAGGTCACTTTTTCTGAAAGCTAAATTTTAACAAAATTTTGAAATACTGGTTTTATTTTCTTGAGTAAACATTACTATATACATAAAAACTTAATACTTCAGTCAGTGAATATGAAAAACTGATAAATAAAGTAGAGAATGAAGTGTGGTTTCAACTGCTGATATCAAATATATCTATACAATTTCTTCACAATTCAATAGTAAAGGAAATCTCTACTTCTAGGTCAAGATATGCTCTTATTTACTCCCTTAAATGAATCAGCTGGTAAGGTTAAGAGAGTGGCTAAGGTACCACACCTATGCTTGTGGGTCAAACTTTATCTAATGTAATTTCCACTACCCAAATTCTAGAGCCGTTCCTAAAATCTACTATGTGGTTGCTTGGCTCTTCCCAGACTGAAAAGGAGATAACTATTCATTTTTATTCTTTCCTCCCAACTTTTACTTTCAAATGTTGACCGGAACTAAAATGTGCTTTCTAAACCACTTCCAGCAGCATTAGTACCTTGGTATTCCTTACTATTGCTCGCTCTCTTTGGCCCCATGTTTCTTCACTTACCCGATGATTCACCTACGTGTTGTTGTTTTTTTTTTTTTTTAAACAGCATGATATTTCTTCCTTTTCTTTATTCTCCTCCTCCATGATGGCTGCATGATTTACAATTCACCTGCTTAGGGTTTTCTGTTAAACTCTAATAAACTACCCCTGTTTGCATCCATACTTAAATCTTTTAAATAAGGAATTTTAGTACACTAGGAAAGGGCTTTGATTTCTAATCTCCAGACCCTGCCCCCAACCATCCGCAGCCTTCCCATAAAATCTCTTCTATTTCCCACTCTCAGGGTAAATCCTCCATCACCCCTATGCCATTCAAGAGTTGAGGGGAAACCTACTGTGGTGTAAACTTCCTGGAATCTATAAAGATGATTTTAATGAGGACTACTAGCTATGGGGGATGTAATCTCAACTGGTCATCTCTTGAAGCCAGGAAAGGGTTCCAGAAGTAGGATTGTGTAGTATTCAATTGAGTTTTTGGCCAAGGGGGTCCCATGGAAATATAAAAACAACTCATGCTGTTAGACAAAAGTTTGCTCTATGCAAACTGACAGAGGAACCCTATTGATGAGGACAACACTCATAGAATTCATTGAACATGCTGAAGGTGAGCTGGTGCCTCCATGAAGCCTTCACCCCTATGCTCTAGCCCCATTTGTGTTGACAGGTTCTCTTTACAATGATACATATGGAAAGCACCGTAGCCAAAAACCTTTAACCTAGTATTTGGTCTGCCTGCAATATGAAAGGGCAATGATGGCGCAAAACTTGTCTGAGTAGACAACCCATGCCTTATCTGACTTAGGACCTATTCCATGAGAGGAAACTTATACCAAACAATGCTGTGTAACCAAGAACCAGAGAACTGAGAGCTCGCAGACCTAGGGTAAAACAAAATTCTATTGTTCTTTTAAGATAATCAATAAAATAATCAATAAAATTATTCCTAATAATGTCTAACTATATTAATAGATTAGTGCCTTATTCAGTCTTCAACAAAGATTGTTCCTTCAGTAGCAGATAGGAAGAAATGCAGAGGCATACAGTCAGAAAGAGAGTTTGAATTGGAGGTCTTCATCAAATACCTCCCTTAGGTGCACAGGGAAACCTGGAAAAAAGAGGTAGAATGATTGTAAGAGGCGTGGGGAAGAAGAACACCAGGAGAACAAGGCCCAGTGAATCAACTCAGCAAGGCTTATATGATCTCCCAGAAACTGAAACAGTAAATACAGAGCTTGTAAGTTTCCACTCCAGGTCCTCCGTGTATATAACTACGAGGTTAACATTTTTATGGGACTCTGACCATGAGAAAAAATGGGTCTCTGACTAGTTTTCATGCTAATTATGTTAATTCTGAAAAAGTTTTATTGTGATCACTTATGTTAAAGTACAACAACTTTGTCTGAATTGAAATGAAACAGCTAGTTAGCTCTTTTATTGTTAGAATCATGGTTCTCATTAATAACCTAACAAAGGAGAAGATTTTTTGTTTCTCACTTTATTTCCTCTGCAAGAAGACTCAAAATAAGCCTTTTCTGCATCATGTTTTGTTTGCATGAATGGCATTAATAAAATGTATTAGGCTTAGTTAGTCTTTAAAAAAAAGGGAAAAAAGGAATTTTAGACCTAACAATAAAAGAATTTTATTTTAAGGACATTCAGAATTTGGAAAAAATATCTGTTATTTGTTTCATTTTTTATGGGTAAAAAGAAGCATATTTGCTCTTCTGCATTTTTTTTTTTTGGATGTAACATAAGTGTCTTTGTGTGATTGGGGAATTGCAACAATGGTTTACTTGAATGGATACTTTCAGACATTAATAAATGAAATTAAATAAGAATTGGTTTATGTTGTTATTTTGAACATACATATAGTTTATTTTTGAAAAGCTGTCTCCAGTAATTTAATATCCATTTTAGATTCTTTACTAGAAGAGTATATGGTTATTTTGTTTTAGATATAATCTGCTGAATCTAATTTTACTCTTTTATAAAACCTTTTCTATAATGTTGGAAACTATATTTTACAGCTTATTATAATGATAGCTAGGACATCAAATACTTTTGTTGAAATGTAATTGTGTATTTGCAATTGTGAGAAGGATAGTTAAAAACAAGTTCAATTTCATACTTAATATTCCTGCAAGAATTGTTTCAGAAAAAGAAATTTGATTCAATATTTTAATTTTTTATTTTTAAAGTTTAGTTTCTTTTTTTACATAACAATTCTATTTCTCACTTCTTATTCTCCTCCTATTATCTTCATGTTTTCTGCCACTCCACCTGCATCTACTCCTTAGAGAGGATAGGGCTTCCCATGTTGCATCAACAAATTCTATCAATTTAATTTTTGAGATTATAATATAATTATATTTCAATTATAAGTGTACATAAATAATTTATAAATATATAAATA